TTTTTTTTTTTTTTTTTGCGGGGGGGTTTATCACTATTCTCAATTATTTTGATTCCTTTGGAGAAATTATCTATCTGAAATTATATTACACTCACTCATCACTTATCAACATGGTTATGTTCCAAGACCAGATTGTTATGTAAAAATCAGTGTTGTGTGAAAACTGGCATTATGAAAAAATGGAGGATAACTACATCAGATCACAAAATGGAAGATGACTACTTTATGACATAACTGTCAAATTACACTGTTACTTAATTGCTAACCACTGAGAACCATGGCCCAGTCAAGCTGACACATAACCTTAACCATCACAGCCAGCGTTACTCTTGCCTTGTACCTCAGCATTTGTTACTGCCAGATGTACATTCTCAAAATAGTTGGATAGATTTTCTACTATCATAAAGATAAAATTTTGAATAACGAGATAGTGGATAAGAGAGGAGTAAGTATATTTCTTTCTCGACTTAAAGGTTTACTTTATGTGTTATGCCATGGGGCGCGGAGGGGAGTGAAGGTTCAGTGGTAGAATTCTTGGCTTCCATGCAGGAGATTCCTGGCCAAGGTTCTTAATGCACAGTTACTACCCACCAGTCAGTCAAGACCTGAATGTTTCTATGAAGCTGAATGGGTTTCAGTGAAGCTTCTAGACTAAGACAGACTAGTAAGACAGGCCTGGCAATCTACTTCTGAAAATCAGCCAGTGAAAATGCTACACATCACAAGAGTCTGATCCACAACCAATCATAGGGATGGTGCAGGAATGGGCAGCATTTCCTTCCATTGTAAATGGGGTTCCTGTGAGTTGGGGTTCAACTCAATGGCAGCTGACAATAATAATACCCCACTAGAATGGAAGTTGCCAATAAGGCCAGGAACATTGTTTTTCTTCACTGCTGTATCCTAAGCCTGGTTCACAATAGGTGCTCAATAAGTATTTGGCTAACTGAATGAATGATTTCAACACAGGTTTAGAAAAAAGACCCTTCAAAAATATGATGACTTTCCATTTCCTCAGATTCACCAGGACTTTTAGACTGAAGGGGAAAGAAATTATTATTTTCTTTAAAAAGAATAGGTATCTCAAAATGTATCCTGTATGTCTCCACCATCATGATCATTAGACCTATCATGTACTGTTCACCTACTCTGTGGCAGTATTCTAGTACTTTATAGATAAACTCTCCCATTGGTAATGATTATTCATTTAACAATGGTTTTATAATAGTGATAATATAGCACATTATAATAACCATATAACATATACTATGTAAAAATAATAAATAGAATGTACAACTATAATTGCAGCAGTAATGCAATAAAAACATGTTTAGCACTTGCCATTTGCCAAATATTATATAAGTATTTAAACCATATAATCTCATTTATTCCTCACAATACCTTTATGAAACAGGTATTCTTTTATAGATAAGGAAACTGAGGTTTAGAGAGGTGAATTAACTGCCCAAAGCCACACAGTTGGTAACAGGCAGCACTAGAACTCAAACTCTATCTTATCTTACTTCAAAGCCCATGCTCCTTCCATTCCTTCCACAGTACTTCTCAAGCATTTTACAACAGAAAGCTACTCCAGTTCATACACAAAGCCCACAAGGCCTGAGGAAGATGTCTACCTTGAGAATGATATGATTCAAACTCTAAATCGGTTAGGGACAGAAGTAAGAAGTAAGTAAGAAGTAATTGCCTGAGAATAAATCCGAATATTTTAAGCAAGGAATTTTCACATTATCCCAAGTTCTATGTATGGCTTTATTTGACACTAAATTCTTATAATTTCTCATTATCTCTAGTAGGCCTTGGTTTTAACCTATAGTGCTGGCCCCTGACTTTCTCTGTCTACTAATGAGGTTAATGGGTAAAAGATATGTTGACCATGAGAGAACCAGGTAATTCTCCCTTATCATCTGGGTTTTGTTTCAAGGGCCCAAGATGGGGCCTTTACCTTTTGTGCCAGGTGGCTGAAGGTTGTCTCCAGTCAAGGAACACCAGCCCACAGGGAAGATGTCCCGGGAGTCAAAGCGGCACCAGTAGTCAAAGGCCCCTCGCCACCCATCAAAAGTGACAAGCACCTCTGAGCCCCGGACCTCCCCAATAGTGGCTGGGCAGATGAAATGAGGGTTCTTCCTGTCCACAGCTTCTAGCTTCATTCCCATTTTGAAGAAGTTATGAGAAGGAGATGGTGGTTCCTAGGTAAGAAACAGAAATACACAAACCTTGACACAGAGAGAGGCGATGTATGCCAATGGACTGCATCTACCTCATTTGGAAGATTAAAAAGTGACTGTTACATAAGATTTATAATAGAGATTTAGTTTTCTTTTAAATGAATTTCAAATGATACCAAAGTATTATTTTGTTAATCCTAACATTTTCACTGACATCTTTGCTTTAGGTATTTTTTTAACTAAAGATATAAAAGATTACAAATAAAGTTGAATCCTTTGTGTTCTTCCTGCATTCAATTTCCCTTCCACCTACCACAGGGATAAAACTATGATTCATGCATGTTTTTATCCTTTATAACATATGTTCATATCCATCTGCATGATTTTTAATTTTATGTAAATGTTATCATACTGTACATACAATTCTACAACATTTTGTTGTTCACCATTATATTTTTCAGGTTTAAACATGTTAATGAATTTAGTTCTAGTTCATTTTAACTGCTGAATAGCCTTCTATTTTATGTATACAGCACGATTAATATTCTTTTGATAGACATTTAAGGTTGTTTCTAGTTATTTACTATTTCAGAAGAGTTTTAATTAATATTCTTGTACTTTTTCTTCTGTACACATGTGGGAGGGTTTCTTTAGGATATATGCCTTAGGAGTAGGATTTCTGGGTTGTAGGATACATATGAAGGAGAACTGCTGGCACAGTGGTTAAATGCTTGACTGCTAACCAAAGGAGCCTACCAGCTGTTCTGCAGGAGAAAGATGTGGCAATCTGCTTCCATAAAGATTACAGCCATGGAAACCCTTGGGCAGTTCTACTCTGTCCTATAGGGTCACTATAAGTCAGAATCCACTTGATGGCAGTGGGTTTAGTTTTTTGTTTTAGTATAGATATATAATGACCCTGGTGTCACAATGTTTAAGCACTTGTCTGCTAACAAAAAGGTCAGTGGTTTGAACCCAGCAGTGGTTTCATGGGAGAAAAGTCCTGGCAATCTGCTCCTATAAAGATTACATCTTAGGAAACCCAATGTCCCATAGGGTTGCTATGAGTTGGAATTGAGTCTAAGGCAGGACAGATATCCTTTCCTTTACTACTGTTGTTGTTGTTGTTGTGTACCGTCGAGTGGGACCCGACTCATAGCGACCCCTCCTTTGGTTTCCAAGGCAGTATCACTACGGAAGTAGATTGCCCCATCTTCCTTCCAAGGAGTGGCTGGTGGGTTTGAACTTCCAGCCTTCTGGTTAGCAGTCAAGTGCCTTAGCCACTATGCTACCAGAGCTCCCTTTACTTTACTAGAGATTGTTAATTTGTTCCCAAAGTGATGGTAACATTGTACACTCTCACCAGTATGGAGAACTCCTAGGTGTTGATTTGTAACAGGTAAAGTTTCCAAATATGTGTTGTACTCACTATTCTATTCCTTTGGTTTTACTATCTAATTTGTATCCACAACATAAAACAAAACAAAACAAAACAAAAACTCACTGCTATAGAGTCAATTCCCACTCATAGTGACTCCCACTGGGTTTCCAAAGCTGTAAATCTTTATGGAAACAGACTGCCTAATCTACCACGGAGCAGCTGATGGGCTCAATCCGTCAACCTTCTGGTTAGCAGTCAAATGCCTTAACCACTATACCACCAGAGCTCTGGTTAGCTGGGCAGGAAAACTATCTCTACTTTGTCATTCTTCAATATTTGTTAAGGCTATACTTTTTTCTTGATATTTCACATGAATTTTAAAATCACTTTTTCAAGTTCTACCAAAAAGCCCTATTGAGATTTTGACTGGAATTGCAATACATTTCTAGGTTGATTTAGGAACAAATAACCTTTGTATGATATTAAGCTTTTCCATACAAGAACATGATACTTTTTCATTTGTAAAGTCTTCTTTAACGTGGATTTCTTCTTTAATATATTAAAATTCCTCTAGAACTATCATATGCTTGACATTTTTTGTATGTATAATTTTATTGCTATCATAAATAGTATTTTTTTTAAATTTCCTTTTCAAACCACATGTTGTTATTAAAAAGGAATGTAATTGATTTTTCTAAAACTGATCAACTGATTGGATATTGATTTGCAACCAATTTTTTTTTTGTCTGCTTAATTTACCAATTATTGAGAGAGATGTAGTACCAATTTCCCTATGACTGTGGATTTTTAAAATTTTTTTCCATGTAATTCTGTCAAACTTGCTTTTTTTTTTAAACACTCTAAGGCTCTTTTTCTTAGAAGCATATGCATAATTACTGTATTTTTTGCATATAATGCACATAGTGCACATAGGAACCATGCAGTTGGCGAAAAACAGTGTAACATTCATTTTACTTGCATAAAATATGGCAATTTATCTTTTTGGTGAAATTTACTTTTTTATTATTATGCAATGACCTTTTTAATGCTTTTTAACATCAAAGTCTCCTTTGTCTGATTTCAGTATATTTAATACTAGCTTTGTTTTGATCAAGGTTTGCCTGGCTTATCTTTTATATTCTTTTACTTATAACAATTTCATGTCATATGTTTTAGTAATGTCTCTTATAAATATTATATAGCTAGCTTTTTAAAAAATCATTAATTTATATCTTACTAAATGGATGAATTTAATCTCATTTCTTGTGATAACTGATGTATTTAGATTTATTACAGCTATCTTTTTGTCCACATTTCTATTTAATTTGAGTTTTTAAAGTTCTCTTTCCTCTTTTTCAATCAACTGAATTTACTTCCCTTTTTTCCCTCCACTGAGTCAGAAGTTAACTGTCTTAGCTATATTCTTTTAGTACATTCCCTTAAGATTTTAACTGCACACTTGACATAACAGAATCTAAAGTTCTTATTTATTTCTGATCCCAAACACAAGAATCTTAGAATATTTTATCTCCTCTGAAGGTATATTTAAAAAAAAAAAAAACACTGCCATCAAGTCGATTCTGACTCACAGTGACTATGTAGTGTGGACTAGAACTGCCCCATAGAGTTTCCAAGGCTGTAAATCTTTACAAAACCAGACTGACACATCTTTCTCTCATAGAGTGGCTCGTGGGATCAAACTGCTGACCTTTTGGTTGGCAGCCAAATGCTCTACCACTGCGCCTCTAGTACATAGGTGCTTAATAATTTTGTTCACATTGTTATCCTGACAATCCTTTGTTATCGTAACTGGTTTATAGTTGTAGGCAATGCTTATGATTAGCTTTACTCACATGTTAACCAGTATCTTGCCTCAATGTTACTTTTTGCGTCTCATTCTTACTTTCTGGGTTTAATTACCTTATTCCTGAAATATATTCTTTAAGTTATTCTTTCACTGAATTTGTTAATAACCACTCATATTGGTTTGTTTGAAAATATCTTGATTTTACTCTCAATCTGAAATAACAGTAAAACTAGATAACAGAATTCTAGATGAACTATTTTCTCTCAGTACTCTGAAGATATCATTTTATTATCTTCTGGTTTGCACTGTTGCTGTTAAGAAATGTGCTATTAGTCCAACTGTAATCCTTCAACAGATTCTGTTTCATAGCTTGCTCAGATCTCCTCTTTTGTTTGTAGTTCTTTCTCTGTAGTTATATCATGATGTTTTAAGATGTGTATTTGTCTTTAACATTTCCTGTTATTATGTTTTCAAATACTGCCTCTTCTCTATTCTTTCTAATTAATCTTGCTTGATTTCTTGTTCAGCATATATTGGGACTTCTAATATTATTCTCCTTGTCTCTTACATTCTCTTTCATATTTTCCATTTCTTTTTCTCTCTCTGTAGCATTCTGGGTAATTTCCTTATACATGTCTTTCTGTTAATAATTCTTTATCTATGCCTAAGCTGTCTATTTTTCTATTGCAATGATTGTTTCATTTCTAGATGTTCTATTTGCTTCTTTTCCAAATCCCTTTTTAAAAGTAGTATTTTTTTATTTAAAAAATTCCCTTTCATTTCGTTAGTCATTTTCAAATATTTAATTTATAATCTATTATCTGAAAGTCCTTATATAATCTTACTGTTTGTTGAATCTACTGATTTCTCATCATGTTATATTGTTTTGAGTATTTATGAAGATTTTGTACTTCTGGATGCGTGCTCATCTTCAGTGGTATCTTGCCTTTGGGACTTATATTCAATCAGGGTTGAAAGCATGTTCCTTGAGAGGTTTTGAGTCTGCTCTGTAGGTACTCAGAAGTATCTCCATACAACTTTGGGATTCCTGGACAACACAAACACTGCATCTGAACCCTGGACTTATCTGTTGCATCACAAGAGATAACTCCATTCCCATCCTAACACAGAGCCAGGCAAAAAGTCTTTGTCATTAATGTAATAATCTTTTCATTCAGGGTAAACTTTTGAGGGATCCAATTTCTTTTTTATGTGGTAGTCTCAAATCTATATCCTTGCCTTGCCTGAGCCCAAGGCCTCACCTTCTGTTCAAATGTGGGTGTTAAAAGATAAGATCCTTGGAAAATAGTACAGGAAAAAAGCCCCTGAGGTAGCTGCAGGTTCAGAGTATACATTTAACACTCTGGTTTTCCTTCTTCATTTTTGGCCTCTGAAAACTTTTCTTACTTTCTGGTAAGCTCAGCAAAGCATTTAAAGGAATATATGTATATTTTTTCATATAGCATTTTGAGGTATTCTGTAATGAAAGGGCTTTAAAGTTACTCAATACATATTTTGGGAACCACAGCCTTCTCAATATTTAGACTTAAATAGCAAATTAGAACATAATTCAGTCCCCTTTACAGCACCTCTAACACCACTGAAATAATTTAGCTGATAGCAGACTGATTGCTTCATCCCTTGAGAAACAATGAAGAGCAAATACAGCTTTTGGATCCCTATTTTATCACTTACTAGCTATGTGATCTTGGGCAAGTTTCTTATTTAAAAATATTTATATCCTTGACTACTGCATGTAAATAATAATCCCTATTTCATAAGATTAGTTGTGAGAATTAAATAAGGAAGTATATATAAATCTCAAAACATATTGTAGGCACTCAAAAAAAGGTTTTCCTTTCTCTCTCTTTGGAACTGTATAATCTATAGTAAGAATAATCCCTTTAGATTTATGCTGCAATTTATATATCCTACTAATAAACACATTTTAACTTCTTAACAATTCTGTGAGGTAGACAGAACCCCACTTTATATATGAGGTCAAAAGACATTAACAGTTTGCTCCAAGTAGACATAGCTTATTAATAGCAGAGCCAGGAACCACAAACTAGAAATCCTAACTTATAGTCTAAGGTTATTCCTTCCCAGGTAACTGCTGGTCCACAAGGTACTAAACAAAACAATTTTTCTGAACTAGTTTCTGAGAAAGCATCCCAGGCCATAAGTATAATGAATAAGTGGATGTAAGCATTTACATTAATTGAGAGAACGTAAGCATTTGACTTTAAGCAGCTTAGAACTGGTGATATTTGAGTGACACCATACCTTATGGAAAATCTTGATGGGAGCCATCTCTGCTCCATTTAATGTCTTCAAAAGGAACATGGGCCAAGAGGAAGCATTCAGCCGAAATCCTGCAGCAAATATAATGAGCAACAGATGAAAAATGTTTGCAAGGGAGATATCAAGTTCTCCCTTCGGAATCCAGCTACCACTGCTACAACTTATGCTTTGGTAGTCACAGAATCATATATTCTTAGAAAATAACTTAAATACAAACAGGTTAAATATAAGAAACACCTCATTAGATAGATGAGGAATATGAGGCACAGAAGAGGAAGTAACTTGTCCAAGGTAAGTAGTAGGAGTCTGCAAACCTTGTTTCCAGATTTCAAGACAAATATTACAGAATGTATATAATGCCTAGAAAGCTCTCCTTGAAAAATCCAAAAAGGATGTGAAATAGGATTAACAGATATTTAGAAACAACCAGATAGCAGAGTGTGAAAGGGGATATATTTATCTCTTAAAAGAAACCAAATATGTCAACTGGTATCTTTAATAACCAAATTTTTAGTTTATCTCAACATAAACTATGTCTCTTTTCCCTCTTTCTCTATTATACACACACACACCCCAAGGATAAAATACTTTCTTGATATTACTGTTTACTTAAACAACTAAGGATCAGATAATGATGAAGACAGATGAGATCATCCTGCCCAAGTATTTTTATTTTCCAAAAGAGAAAAAAGCTTAGAGAGGTAAAGTGTCCATGCCCATTCAGCAAGTAAGTACCAGTACCAGTAAGAATGTACCATTTAATTAACGAATTATAGAAATAAGATCATTATTATAGTTAGGTCTTCCAATTAAGAGTTCCAAGTGCTTCCTTCAATTTGGCTTTAACTCTCCACCTGAGATAGTAAATTCTAATGACTTTCAAACTAGTCTCCCAACCTGTCACTTTCCTGATGAAAGAAACCAAAACTGTAGAGCTGGAAACAATAGCAGCAGTAGTATCTGATAGTCTTGAGTACTTTACTGTGTGCTATATACTGTGTAAGTCACTTTACACCGAGGATCTAAATTTCCTTATACAATGCTATGAAGTTATTAGATAATATCTTAGAAAAACGTATGGAGTTAAGTAAAATTGCTTGATTTTACAGTGAGAAAATGGCAAAGACAGGGCTGAAACCCAGGCAATCAAATGAAGATGGAAGGAATAAAAAGAGTCACTGTACCAAAAAGAATTGGTTGGTATTCAACCTTTTCAGGCAGTAGCATATGATCAAGAACTTGTGGTACTGAAGGAAGAAGTCCAAGGTATACTGAAGGCATTGGCAAAAAACAAGGCTCCAGTCAGTAACTGACAGAATATCAACTGAGATTTTCAACAAATGGATGCATCACTGGAAGCGCTCACCCATCTATGCCAAGAAATTTGGAAGACAATTACCTTGTGTGTCCATCCCAAAGAAAGGTGATCCAACAGAACATGGAAAATAAAAAACAAATATCATTAATATCACATTTCTTGTTTTCTGTTTTTTTTGAACTTTGCTATTAGTGCTGAGGGTGAGATGATATTTCACTGTTCTGATTTGCAATTGTCTAATGGCTAATGGAACTCGAGGTTGAATTTTTTCTTCAGTTCTTTCAGCTTGAGAAGTCAGGAAAGGTGTGTGTCAGTGTTATATCTTTTCACCATACTTATTCAATCTGTATGCTGAGCAAATAATCGGAGAAGCTGGATTACACGAAGAAGAAAACGGCATCAGGACTGGAGGAAAACTCAGTAACAACATGCAATATGAAGATGACATGGCCTTGCTTGCTGAAACTGAAGATGACTTGAAGCACTTACTGATGAAGATCAAAGAATACAGTTTTCAGTATGACTCACACTTCAACATAAAAAAAGCAAAAATCCTCACAACTGGACCAATAAGCAACATCGCAATAAATGGAGAAAAGATTGAAGTTGTCAAGGATTTCTTTTAACATGGATCCATAATCAACACCCATGGAAGCAGCACTCAAGAAATTAAACAACATACTGCACTGGGCAAATGTGCTGTAGAAGTTACCTCTGGCCATACTATGAGGAGGGAGTGGTCTCTGGAGAAGGACATCATGTTTGGTAAAATAGAAGGTCAGTGAAAAAGAAGAAGACCCTCAATGAGATAGATTGACATAGTGGCTGCAACAATGCACTCAAACATACCAAGGATTGTGAGGATGATGCAGGATGAGCAATATTTCGTTCTGTTGAACATGGGGTTGCTCTGTGTCAGAACTGACTTAATGGCACCTAACAACAACATGCCACTAACTCATGGTACAACTTTTGGAAACTCACCTCTGTTTCTCTATTTGTCAGATGAGATAATGAACTAAAGCAGTAGTTCCAAACCTTAGTTTTATTGAGGGCTGGTGAACTATCCACATTTCACCCCAAGGTGAGAAAACAAAAAGAAAAAGGAGAAATGGATCTGGAAGAAAGGTGCTGAACAAATCGTCTTCTGTGAAGAGGGACTGACTACCCAACCTGATTGTATTTGGGAAGGATTCTCAGCATGTCTTTTAGTTCTGACAGAATCTTAACACCACTTCACTAGTACATCCCCATAGAAATACTCAAACATAAGCAAATTTAGGTTAATGTAACTGGGAGTGAGGGTTATGACTAATCCTAAAATATGTATAAATATAAAATATCCTAAAATATGTTTCATTCTGCTGTGCATGGGGTCGCTATGAGTCGGAAATGACTCGATGGCACTCAACAACAACAACAACAAAATATGTAATATACAGACGTGGACAAGTATAGATGTTTCTGGCATCAACCAGGAGCTTTGTGCAAAAAAGAGGGATTCAGTGAGTATTTTAAAAATTACCTTGCAAAATAAGCATTTAAGTCACCATGGTGAAAATCACTTATAAAGTTTTATTTTGTTTCTTTCCCTACATTTTCTATAATGGAGTTCAAAATTCTGTAACAAGAAAATGAGACATTTATCTTTTTAATTCCCCTTTCCATTGATAAGCCCTGGTGGCTACTTAGGAAATGAGATTGATCAGTAACAGAAACATATAAGGGGCTTCTTTCAAGTCAGTGTACCACATTTACACTGGAGATGTGAGTAATTTTACTGAGCAGGCATTTTGCACTGGGATTCTAACACAGTTCACTAGGGTTCTCACTGGAGCTCATGCTTCTGCTCTAGACCAGCAATTCTCAAACGTGAACATGGAAATGCCCAGAAGAGCATTAAAGAATACATTAGTTCTATTCCCATAAATTTAGATTTAATTGATCCGAGGTAAGTAAGGCCTAGCAACCAACCAACCAACCTCACTGCCCTCGAGTTGGAACCGACTTATAGTGACCCCCCCTTGGGTTTCTGAAGCGGTATCATTATGGAAGTAGATTGCCCAACCTTGCTTCAGAGCAGTGGCTGGTGGGTATGAACCGCCAGCCTTCTGGTTAGCAGTCAAATGCCTTAGGCACTACGCCACCAGAGCTCCCAAGTAAGGCCTAGGCACTAAAATTTTTAAGAGCTTCCTAGATGGTTCAAATGGGCAGCCAAGTTTGAGAACTACTGCTCCAGACAGCCCTGTTTAGAATAGTCATAACCTTGAGCCAGAAAGTAGTTCACTGATAATAGGGGGATGTAAGGAAAAGATTGGAAGCTTTAGATAACTTGAGAATGATTCTACCTTAACACAATTTTTCCCTAGAGCACTTTACAAGGGAGTAATCTTGCTTATGTGAACAGAACACAAAAGAAACCATAGAAGATTTTAATGGAGAAGAATGCTCCTCTATAATACTACTTCCAAAATGGATGAACAGCATGTTAGTCTTGGGGGAGTGATTTTACTATGCAGAATCCAAAGCCCATTACCTAGATATTCTGATTCAGCAACTCAGGAGAGAGATCCAGAGGTGGCTGGAGGAACATGCATGTACACACACACATGCTGTACATATATGTGTAGGTATATATAACTATATATGTGTGTGTCTATGTGTATCTGTAGCTATATAAAATCTTACCTTTAGAATTTATTTTCAAAACATTTAAGCCTAGTGAAAAGCAGCAAAAATAGAGTAATGAACAACTATGTAGCTTTCACCTAGATTCAACAACTTAAATAACATTTTGCCACATTTGTTTTACATAATTGTCTGCACATTTTTTCCCTGAACCATGTTGGAGACATCATGACACTTTACCCCTACAACTTCATATATTTGTCTATAGAACAAGGACATTCACCTACAAAACCACAATATTACTACCCCAACAAATTTCTTCCACCTGCTTTAATCTAGAATAGCCTTGCTGCTTGTTCTTTCTTTTTCAGTCCTTTATGACAATGCCATTTTTGAAGATTCCAGGCCAGCTGTTTTGGAGAACATCTCAATTTTCTTTTTCTGATTACTTCATGATTACATTCATGCTAAATGTTTTAACAAAAATACTGCACAGAGTATTTGAGTACTTATTGCATTACTTCAAGAGGCACATACAATTAGTTTGTCTAATGATGATATTAAAAAGGATAAGAGATTTCTTTATTGCAATTTCCCTTCATAATTAATGGGTAATTGATGGGGAGAAACCATAACACTATGCCAATATTCTATCCACCAACACCCTTTTATCTGATAGTTTTAACAAATTATTCTTGCCTGGATCAATTATTACAATAGTGGTTGCAAAATAGTCATTTTCTAATTCTGTCCTTCTATATTTATTATCTGGCATTCTGTAAAGGAGACCTCTCTCCCTACTTAAAAAATACATTATGTATCACTGTGGACTCACGGATGCTATTACCATTGTTCTGTATTTTCAATGTTCTTTTTGATGCTCAAATTGTTCTGATTTCAGTCAGCCAGAATCCCTTCAAGGCTGGTTACTATATACAACGCAAAAACACAACCACTGCCATGTAGTCAGATCCGACTCATAGCCACCCCTCCTTGGGTTTCTGAGGTGGTATCACTACAGAAGTAGAATGCCCAGCCTTCCTTCCTTATATCCTTTTAAATTATCCCCATAATTTTTTGAGATGTCTTTGCTTTCTGGCATAATAAGATGTTCCAGATTCACGT